CGGTAGTGGCAGTTGCTGTCCAGACTGCGTAGATCACAAAAGAGACAGTCCAGTGTTAATCGAAACGGGCACATAGCAAACCAAGTGCAGTTGTGATGGGCCAGACGATGAAATTGACTAAATGCTTGTCCCTGGGGGCTCACTGTATTGTTCAGAAAGACGGGACTATATATATCCAAAGAAGATTTCGAACATATTGCCCAAGTCCCCTGCGCTGGACTTCCTTGTGGCAACTGTTCAACCACAACCAAGCTCGTAATCCGAAGACCAATCACAAATCCTTGTGCAGATTGGGCTCGCCTTGTGCCTTCCTGATCTTTTCGCCTTTCCAGATCAGAACCAGCAGACCCAACCATGTGACGAAGTTGATGGACGCAAAGGTTCCCCAGGCGGCGCCAAAGCTGACACCCTCGCCAAAAGGCAGTGCGTAGAAACCGATAGTGAACGCAAAGATCTGACGGAACAGATTGATGATGGTCGACACTTCGGCGGCTTGGGGCTTGTAGCAATCCGTGCAGTAGGCGTAGGTCAACGTCGTGCCCGCCTGGACACCAATACTGGCGACCGTCATGCCGACGGCGAGACCGATCCACGGGGTCTCGTTGTTGACGCAGAGGCCATGGATGATCAGTCCTGCAGGCAAGAAGAGGCCCAGAAAGCAGAGGTAAAGACGAGCCTCAGGCTTCCTGTATCCGTCGTGGCGGCGTGCGTAGCGATTGATCAATTGGTCAGAGATCCAACCTGTGCATGACTCTCCGATCAGACAGCCGAGCGTGAGCGGAATGCCCAGTAGGAGACCGTTTTGCGCCGTGTTGAAGTCGTAGAGCCTCTCAGTGATAGACGACGCCGTGAGAACGAAGACAATCGAGCCATAGGTATTGGTTGTCATGTAGTAGATACAAGGGATTGTGATCGCCACGTATTGGAGCATCTTGAAATTGGCCGAGAAGTCCGACAGGCTCAACTTGCGATCCAGAACTTTGCCGCGGAACGCCATCTTATGCCAGTAACTTTGGTTCTCAAGCTTGCTGAAGTCCGTGCGCGAGAAGAGCGTCTCGGGAAAGGAGACCAAGAAGATGGCCAGGACGACGCCGAAGATGATGGCATTGATCTATCGCGATAGTCAGTTTAAAAAGGTATTTACATGTGAGAAATCGTCGATGGCAGGTAGTCGTAGCACATACGAAGAAGATCCATCGCCACCCCAGGTTCAGCGCGATATAGCCACCAGCAATGGGACCAAAATGGGGCTGTATGTCTGTCAGTGGGTTCGTCTGCTTTCAGATTCCTTGTTTCCACTCACTCCGTTGGTGACAGCCAGAGCGTAAAATCCCATATACTTTCCACGTTCGCCTTGAAAGAACATATCACAAATCTGGGGGCATGTTAGACCAGTGATCAGAGAAGAGCTTCAAGATCGTTTTCGCTTACAGTAGCACCGCCGATGGCCAAAGCAACACTGGCGCCAATTCCGACAAAGCAGCGGCTGACGATCTCGCGAGCATAGGTCGAAGCATATCCCGACCCAACATTTGCACCGATGGCGATCAAAGTAAAGATCTGTCGAGAGTCAGAGAGACCGTTCCCTTGGAGTAAGATGGGAGAGTGACTTACCAGATAAGCAGGTCTCCGACCATACATATTGACGTACGGAGTCAAGAGCAGAGGAGTGATACCACCAAAGAGCGTATACGACGTCGTCAGGTAGCTGGCCTGCTGGTGGGTAACTCCAAAGTCTTTTGCAATCACTCCAAAAGCTGCCGGTACCATGCCAGCTCCGACTGTGGCAGGGTCAGTACCACTCTCTATCACTTTGAGAACTCCCAATCATGCTCACATTGAACGCAGAAAGCAAGGAGACATAGCAAGAACAGCACATAGTATTTGTACCACTTGGGCCAATTCTGTTTCCAATGTCAGCCTATATCCTTTGGTGGGCATACTACCCTAGTGACAACGAGTCCACGGCAAGACGTACAAGTGGATCAGCCTTGTGATCGGTAGGCTGGGGCACAAGAGGGAGGCCATGCTCATCAAGCTTCAACTCAGGTCTTTGGCCATGCTTCTCTATCTCAATCTCCATGCCGTCGTTATCTTCCACATGTGCCAGGACACGTAGGCTTTTCTCCTGACCCAGAGTTTTGGCAGCCATGGTTTGCACCGTAGAGGACAAGATGTCAACCAAGGATTCCCAAAGAGAAGGCAGTCAAGGGTAGTGAGGGTAGAGGGCACCGTAGGGTGTAGCAGGTCAACCAAGGCCTTTGGCGGGGGAGAGGGATTAAGATAGAAAGAGCGAGAAAGATTCATATAGCCAGCTGGACAAAAGAAGTCCTTTATCTTATTTACCATTCTTTTCCGCCTCGCGACGCCATGACTCTAACGACCCTAACGCCAACAACCCGGATCGAAGGGGGTCTGAGCTCCCAGGAATGGGAGAGGTGTGAGCGAGGCCGGGATAATCAACATACTGCACTAACAAGAGGAACTAACGTCTGGGGAACAGGAGGAAGGCCGGGGATGATATTTTTCTCTCGAGTGGGGATATACTTCCCCGGTCGGTCACGGGGAGCAAAACAATTGCGGGGAAAAAGGACGATGGAAGGGAATCTTATATCAAAGTCTCCCCGGACCAAAGACTCCTTGGCTAGTCGTACTTAGACCGTACGAGTACAACGAATAAAGTCCTTGAAGATGCTTCTGTCTTTCAGCCTATCCTGAAATTGATCTTCCTCACTGGCGCAAATAGTTCCTCGATAGGCACCTTCTTCTCAATCATCGACTGATCATAAAGGCACTGCACCAGCGCCTCCAGAGTCTTCCGGTTCTCTTCGATTCCGTATGGCCAACAGTCCTCTCCAAACACGTCATGAATCTCATCAAGCTCCTGAGGTAGCCACGGAAGCATGTATCTGAGGGCACCCGTGCTCTCCATCCGCTTCCGGGCCAACTCCTTGCTTTCATTCAGAGCGTTGTACAAGGCCGACGCCGCGAACTTGTTTTGCTCGTAGTAGTCTCGGCGCATGGCAACCAGATGCATGATCGGGAATATGCCTGTGCGTTTGTAATAGTCCATTTCCACTTTCTTGAAGTCGGGGAAGAGCCGGTCGATGTGCGGTGCTTTGCCCAGGCACGCTGGAATATCCGCGCCAATTGTCGCGTCAATCTCGCCACTCTCAAGGAGGTCGGACAGAGACTTTGTGGGATTGGTGTTCTGCGTGATTTTGATCGGCTTCAGTGGTTTCAAGGCGGACGGCTTCCCGTGAGAGCCTGGTCCCTCCATTTTACCTTCCACCCACTCAATGGACGATATGTCGACACCGTATTCATGCTGAAGCAGGCCTCGGATGAAGACGGCAGCGGTCATGGTGTACAATTGTACCCCGATCCTCTTACCGTTCAGGTCCTTTGGCTCTTTGATTCTGTCTTTGTTCACGACGATGAAACTGTGCCGGAAGACCCGAGAGGGAAAGACTGGTAGTGCAATGAAGGTGCTATCTCCTGCCACATGACGGGTAATATATTCTGAACTCGACAATTCCGAAGCATCGAATTCCTGGTTTGCTATCATCCGGTCGAAAATGTCCCGGGGGTGATGGACGTCAATGAAGTTCACCGACAGACCTGCTGGTTGCACCTCACCGACCGCAAGAGGCACCATACGGTCATAGAGTGCCGAGGCAAAGTTGCACCGTACAGGAGGCATGGCGAGAAGAGCAGGATGCCTTGTGTAAGACTTGCACAACGTCTAATGTGGTAAGGTAGGTATATGCGACACGATGGGGAGGTCGATCCAAACAATAATTTGCGGTCAGGGTTCGATAGGACAGGCATATGAGTATGGAACATATACTCATGAACCGTCCCTTTCTAGAACTGCGTCCACGCGTCTGGCCTCTGGGAGATGGAGTTACATTGACTGTGGTAACTCCCCGCCCGGTAAGTAATTCCGGCACATATTGAGCTTCACGATGCTGCACCTCAGGACCTCGTCCCTTGTATTGCCTTCATCGTTTTCGTGCTCCCGTAACTTGTCATTGTCTTTCTCGTATAGCCATCTTGTTTCTAGTATCGTTGAACGGGTATTTGTGTAAGATAGGATGAGAGAGGAGAAGAGACGCTGTCCTTAAAGGGCATTGTGGGAGCGCTGCTTTTGAGAGGCGACTGGACAGCACCCTTGTAAGTGCCAAGGCTCTAAAACCTAGTCCCTCTAGGGCAGCGCTAATGACATTCCAAACGAGTAAGCGCCAGTCTACTGTTTACTTGTACTTTACTCTCCTGAGCACTTCGAACAAACAGCCCTACGTCTTCCAAGACTTCTCAACTTCCACTGAAAGTACCTAGTATGCTTTCAACTCGACGCATTGGCCGCGAAGAGATCACTTACGAGGAGCCAAAAACAAGGAAACCAACATTCTGCACAAGTTGAGTTATCTCTCGAAGCAACTCAGATTTTATAACCGTCTGTACAAACGCCGCCGCCTCATAGAGGAGCGCGTTGCGCATCACCTGGGGTTGAGAACAGCTACTCTTTGTCATGTCGCCGAACCGACGCTGTGGCTCAATGGCAGCTTCAATGTTTGCATCCCAGTTCTTGTCGATGGCTCTTCGCGCGTGTTGATGCGGTTTCCACTGCCTTATCGAGTGGGGGAAGAGTTTCGGCCAGGCAACGGTGACGAGAAGGTCCGTTGTGAAGCTGGAGCATATGCCTGGCTACAACAGGAATGTCCTACCATACCAATTCCACGTCTCTATGGCTTCTCTCTGTCCTCTGGTCAATGTGTATGTGGCCTGCGCTGTTCTATATGGTTTTTCATTACTAAGGTTGATAGTTTACGACCGTAGAATGTCTCAATCCTATCCGCCGCATATTTGAGCGCTTTCGCCGTCTGCTTCTTTCGATTCTACGCTATCCTCTCCCCTCTCCCCTCACTCCTCATCAGTGTCGGCTCTCGAATGAGCTTGGGCCGTACCTACTTCTGGAATACATTGAAGAGGGGGAAATGCTCTCGAACACTTTAAATGACCGGTATAACGATGAAAAGCTACGGACCAATCTTTTCCGCGGCCTCTCGCGGGTTATACTCACGCTCTCTCGCATTCCCTTACCCAAGATCGGATCGTTTACCGTGGATGACCGTGGCTTTTTACAACTTACAAATCGACCTCTGACAATGCAAGTGCATGAACTTGAGAACGAGTGTATCCCTGTGAATACTGTAAGACATCATACATACTCTTCGGTCGACTCGTACGTGAACGGTCTCCTTTCGAATCACGACATCAACCTCCGCTACCAACCAAATGCAGTGAACGACAAGTACGATTGTTTAAGTCAAATGTCGGCTCTAGTTATTATGCGGTCCTTAGCTCCTCAGTTCTTCGATCACAACCTCAATACTGGCCCATTCGTATTTTGCCTGACTGATCTACATGCAAGCAATATTATAGTGGACAACTCCTGGAATATTCGCTGTCTCATTGACCTAGAATGGGCATCCTCGCTTCCCCTTGAGTTTCTGCGAACTCCGCCCTGGCTGACGAGGCAAGCAGTCGACGTGATTGATACCGAGGCTTACAATGTCCGCCGCGTGGAATTTATGAAGATATTTGAAGACGAGGAGGCCAAGTTGTATCCGGCTAGGAGCCCGCCCTACTCGACTGTCATGAATCGTGGCTGGCACAACGGGACCTTTTGGTATACCCTTGCCATGGAAAATATAACCGGTCTCAATTCGCTCTTCTACAAGAGGATCCAGCCAATGTATTCAGGAAGTCATTTGAAAGATGGCCACTTTTATCTCATCACGCACTTGTATTGGTCGCAAAAGGTTGGAGAGTTTATCGATGAAAGGGTTGAGGCCAAGAAGAAGTATGACCAAGATCTCGAAAATGCATTCAGAGCACACTGAGACGACTTCTCTGAGCCATATTGGAATGATGTATGAATAGATGATCCCTGAAATCCCAGTGATTTACTCCCTCTAGCATTTGGATTTTTGATCATTCGCCCTGTTCGGATTGCCTCTTTGGGAACAGAAAGTAGTCCGCGGCATATCACGTGGGAGCACAGGGCAACACCAGCCTTGTCCCAATCCAGGTTCAGGTGCGAGGAGCTTGGCGCCAGTTTTGGCAATGCGCAGCCTCGACTTGAGGGGTGGGCAATCTTTGACACAAAGGTCAATGTTCCCAAGTCACTCCTGTTGTCGCCCCCTCAAAGCTCCGCGTTAGCAGCACAGTATTGTTTCCGGAATGGCGAATTTGAAAGACCTGAACGAGCCATTCTATGTGCGGTATTAGTACGGATTTCTGCCATTGCTTGCATTTTCCTGAGTGATACTGATCGTGCGCAGCTCTGGCCACTCCGGTCGATTTGGCCATGAATTTCTAGGTACAAAGGCCTCAAGTATCCCACACTCGAATATCACTGACTGCTGGACAGAATTTGACTTCAGAGTGATCGGGGATGGTCGAAGCGCAACGGCGAGATATGCAAACAATTCAAATTACCGCAATGATTCCCTCATCCGCAAAGAGAGTACGTATTGGGTCTTCAGTGTCGCGTCGTCGAGCGACTGACATTCGTCCAGTGTGTGTCAGCGCCCTCCTCGTTTCAGAGATCAAGCGCATCATCAAAGACAGTGAGATCATGAAGGAAGATGACTCGCGGTGGCCACAAAAGAACAAGGATGGAAGACAAGAGCTTGAGATCAGACTGGGAAATGAACACATCCAATTTGAGGTTTGTCGGGCTCTCTACATGAATTGCCACTCGACTGACGCTGGGCAGACCGCAAAGATAGGCTCGCTCGGGGACGTGACAGACTCAGCCGATCCAGAAGGGCTGCGTGTGTTCTACTATCTGGTGCAGGATCTCAAAGCTCTAGTGTTCTCTCTGATATCTCTACATTTCAAGGTAAGCCTTCCTCGATCCAGGCGTGGAATGCTATGCTAATGGGAGTCAACCGCAGATCAAACCCATTTAGCCACTGTGCCTGCTACCCACGATCGTCGATACCCAACAAATCCTGAGTCTTGCTGCCGAAGCTATTTGGCATTCAATCTCGGTCGAAGCAGAATCCCTTGGGGTTCCAAAGGCGAAGAAGTTTTGGTCTGGAAGAGGGCCTCATAGAATGGCTTGTCCAAGACGGCTTCGATTTCACGGCCGCCGGAAAAAGTTGGATGCGCATAGAACATCGAGGTCCAACAGTGATTTCCACTGATCAGCCAAGATGCATCGAACCAGAACAGAGGCGGCCCGCAAACAAGAGCAGCCATGACATAGCCTGGCAAGCCTGGCACCCGTGATGGGATCGGTGATGCCAGGCCCGCGGCTTCACGACTTGAACCCCGCAAATGGCGAGAACCTCCGAAAGTCGGGGCGGGAGTTTTCTTAGCTGATGAAGGACCTTGAGCCCTCGCCTCTCCAATCGACTAGATTCCCGCTGCCATCCACCCGTCCACTATTCTCCGTACCTCTCATCATTCTCCTCCCCATGTATCTCGTGCTCTGACGAAGGGTTCTGTGCATTCTCTCATCCTGCGATTTCCCTGGCAATCCCATCCATCCGCCCTTCCCTCCCTACGTCCCGACATCTCCATCATATTCTCTCCATATGATAACCTTGCGGTTCCTCACCTTTCAATGCCAACCCATGCACCTGCTACACCGTTTGGTCCTCACACCTCCGAAATAGCTATCACTCAACCCAATGTCGCGTGCCCTGCTCCATTGACACCACCTCCAGAGAATGACGGAAATGAGACCTCGAGGCGTCTAGTCACGCCGCAGACACTCAATAGCGGGCATGTTTTCAACCGGCGACACGTCGGCGACAACACCGCTGCCGGTATGGCCCAGATGCAAGAAGAGACTTTGTATATCACCCCGCCAAGTTTCGATGAGAAAATCCACGCAGACGGTACCAGCGCGACATCTATGATAGATGGTGTTGATGATGACATGAGCCTAAGCGAGCGCATTGAGGACGACGGCGGTCGGGAAACAGGCGGATTTGATGCGACATCGGGCACACCCATCATATCGCAAGGCAATACCCGTCAAGTGGTGCCTGAAATGAGAGCCACAGAGGATGAGACAGGACCAGTATGCGGCAAGAGTGGCCTGGGCACATCATCGCCTCCGCTGATTTCGTCCGCGAACAATCGAACTGGAGGCTTTCCTCGAGCTGGGGAAACCCCCGGCAGGCCAGCCATTGATCAAGAACTAGACTGGTCGAACAACGATTTGAAGGAATGGGATTTTTCTCATCGGCAACTTCGACCGCAATATCCATCGGCCACATTCCAACCGTATTCCAAGTTCAAAGGCACGCAACAGTCAGACCGACAGATTTACAATGTGGAAGTGACCATTTTGACCGTGGACATTGAACAATGCAGCATGTCGGGATACCTTCAGATATGCGGCCTGACACCAGATCATCCCACATTGACCACCTTCTTCACCGGCGAGATCATTGGCGGCCCAAACCAGAAGTATAGCTTCAGGACCCGGGATCCCGCATGGGGCGCGAGCGACAAGACGGACCTGACGCACTGGGCTCGGTTTCCTGCATGGAGACCACTCAGTTTGCACGCGAAGCGCAACATCAACTTTGTCTATCCCATGAACCACGAGAACTGGTGGCAACAAGACTACATCTTCATGAGATGGAAGGAGCACTTTCTGGTCCCCGACTACAAGTTGAAATCCATCCAGGGAGCCAGTTTCGAAGGGTTCTACTACATCTGTTTTAATCAGATTGAGGGGAGAGTGAGTGGCATTTATTTCCACTCCAAGAGTGAGAAGTGAGTTTTTCAACAGTCCCCATTGTGCGCTGAGATACACGAAAGCTAATCTTCCAGGAACAGATATCAACAACTCGAATTGAAGCACGAAGGAGAACCCGGCGTCTGGAGGATGGGCGTCTGTCCAGCGGTGGAGTTCCGTTGAAAGACGAATCGGAACATGTTTCATGGCTCGATGGGGGAGAATCCGACCTGCGTTCTTGTGTATACTTTACATCTGTAGATGATCATCTTGCTGGGGGTGTCTCGTTTTTTTTTCCTTTTTATTTTGCTGGCAGGATAGATTTTTGATAACGGCCAGATCACGAACTTGAGACTTAGCCGGGGCCTTTTGTAACGCGGCGCCTTTTTCATTGTTGGGGAGAATCGAGACGCAGAAATTTAATACGGTTGTCATTTTGGAATTGTTCTGTTTCTTTCGGAAATCACACGAGACTGTGAAACTGATTCGTCATCGTCCAGGGTCAGGAAGCTTGATTTGGCGGAACTTTGCAAAGCTGCTAAAAATCAGAAGAGAGCACATGGCTTGTCAGCTAATGGCAATAAAGATTCAGGCCCGATGACAATTAACCTTGTGGCCCAATGTGATGCATGATGCATGATGTATGATGTCGGATGTCGAGTGTAGGGACACGTAGTACGCAAGGAGGAACACCGAGGCGTTAGGCCTGGTTGGATTTTGGAGAGATGGAAGAGGCATGAGCTGAGGGGGTGCTGGGACCAACTGGGATTATTTTTAGGGGCCTCCAAGGCTCCAAGGGGATAACTGGGGGTTTGATGCACCTAGACACATACCTGGAGGTAGTACACAGCACATGCCTACAAGTAGGTTTACTAGTTGCTTGTGGGCCTTCACTAGCCTAATCGATATAGGTGCTTTGAGTTCTCTTGGGGTGGCTCTAGGTGGTTCTGGGCCTGGTTCCGTGCTTTCTCCGCGCTGCCCCTCTCACTCCAAGGCTCGAGTGCCTTTAACCATTACCCAACTGCAAGGCCATCGCACCCACCCACCTGCGCCGCTTATCCCCTCAAAGGACTCATTCGATGCCTTGTGTGGCCAGCGTCTTATTTGCTGCAAACGCACCCAAGTGCGGTTTCTTTGTAGACAGCAAACCGTTCAGGTCATGCATCTAGCCACCACGGTTTCAGTACAAATGACTATTATTCCACCCCTCTCTTCATCTGCGTCCACGGTATCTGCGCTCTAGTAGAATCTCAATCCCCAGTCGCTGCTGGCCGTGCGCTCGTTCGCGGCTTCGCCACTTCTCATTTGCGTGTTGCAGGTTTGGCTTGTCCTGACTCTTATCTCTGTCGCATTCGCACTACGCTTCACGTGGGAAAATCCGGGGTGTCGATGACATTTACCATCGCCAGCCCGACAGTTCAGATCCTTTGATGACGACCGGGTCGGGGTCAGATATGAATTGACCTGCACTATGGTAAAGCCGTCTCTCCACACCCGCACAACTAACTTTTGTGAATTCGCTCAATGACTGATGCTCGCTTTCTAGGGTTGCTGTGCATCGAGACCAACAGACTCGCGTGATCCAGACCATGGACACCCACATGCACCTCCTCAGACTCAACACTCCTCTCAGGTCATAACATCGCAGACGGCAATCAATGGTGCATCCCACGACCCCGACTCACGCAACTTCGGGGCTCCTTCAGGTCTGTCGATCCATCAGAGTGAGACCTCGAGATCGGCACTGTCCACGCCCCGAGACTCCGTCAACCACAACGCCAGATCGCGGCAGCACCGACGCTTGTCTCTAGCAGATCATTATAACTTGCCTCTGCAGCCACCTAAGCCGTGGAAGAGCAAAGACAGGACATGGACATACACCCAGTTGCAGCGAGAGAGGTATGAGTTCTTCGAGACCAGAGTCACAGGGATCCCCGAAATCTGGCACGGCTTGAAGCAGGTGATTGAATGTCTGCACGAAGGTGATCTGGCCGACGCCCAGGGGATCCTCGATGCCCTCTCGGTGACACTCCCCACGGGGAAACTCGAGGAGGGGGCATATGATGAGCACGGAAACCTGTACAAGATACCCCAAGCCGTCATTTCAGACCCCATCGACGTGATCGAGGACCACACAGACATGGACTCCCAGACCGTCAACGGGACTAACGATATCGACCCTATTGCAGCCAAGCTAGAAGCCGCAGAGGATGGCGGCAATCTAGACGGCAGCAAGGACGGATCCAATGAAGAAAAGGTCAAGGAAGCAAAGGGCAAAGCACCCGTGCCAAAGGACGCTGTTAAAGTTAGATGTCGGCTTAGCGATCGTGGAGACCCTGATGTGGTTGTTCTGTTGGGTAAGAGCCAGAGGGTGAGCGCACTGGTTCAGAGGATCCGGGACGAAACAGACGTGAGAACTTCAGCCAGTTGTCCGCCATTACTATGACTGACATGTCACATAGGTTCCCAGCAAAGCCAAGATACGCATCGCATATCTGGGCAAGATTTTGGACGAAAAGCTGAGCTTGGAAGAACAAGGCTGGAAGGAAGGCCATGTGGTCAATGCTCTTGTGGTGGGGGTATACAGTTGACCTGCCAGCCTGCCTTGCCTGAAAGATGTTGAGCAATGAATGCTGTGAGGAGGTTCGAGAGGTTTTCGTTTTGTTTGGGTTTTATACGGGACCGCGTTGTCCAAGCCAGCGATGATTGATTTTCAGATACCCTGCACAGTGTATATCCATCTAATGAAGATGTACAAAAGGCTCGACGGCGTCAAACACGTTCCCAGAGGGAGATGGAGGTCACTGCAGAGAAGAAAGACGGGAGAATCTGTGGAGAGCGAGGGAACAGCTGCGATGAGATTAATTTCTAATTACATGCATTGAGTGATGAACCAGCAATCCAATACCCGAGGGGATATTTCGCATTGATCGTCTCTTGAGCATTGCCCATGATACAACTACGACTACTACGCCTACAGAGCCTGACGTAGTATGTCCCTACCTACCTAGGTCCCTTATGTAGACTCGACGGACGTGTGACATGGTCCTGTCCGCGTCCTTGAGGTCCTTGTCTGTCCTTGGTCTATAAGCGGGAGGATCAAGGGATTGCCGTAAGTATTGCATCGTATACACTTACGTCTCCGTACCAGCGAGTGGGTTGATGATGTGTGGTATGGTGGAGTGGGCTCATGGCAGGACTGAAACCGCGAGGCTGAGATGCAGAGGAGGAGACGAGGTATATGACTATGACACAACAGGATTTGAGAGTGTTGGATGCATCGTCTACCTATCCACAAGTACATTAAGGTACTGTGGGACACTGTTTTCCAATGCTTGTACAATGAGTAGTGCGAGAGAGGATATTGGATAACGTCTACTTGGTGTTGTTGAGGGGTGGTGTGACGGGAATTCCCTCGCATGAAAGTACTGGTAAAGGAAACGTGTGACGGTCCTTGCTTGATTCGTAGGCACGCAAGAGAGAATTGATCCCATTGCTTGGAGAGACACACCTAATTTCTCGCACCTCGTACTGGCCCGTACAAGCTTTTATACTTTGTATGTAAGAGACCAGAAGACTCACGTAACTACGAACTACCTGAACCAGGAAGCAAACAAACAGAGTGTACTTTTTCATCATGGACATGCCCACCCGCGCATCCATGTATCTATCCATCGTCTTCTTTTCCATCCTGTTGGGCCTCAGACGAACCCTGGTCTTTCTGCAGACGCTTCTCGCTCGGGTCGTGGTGGGCCCACGCACGGCCGAGGTGCTGCAGCGTTTCCTGGATGACCAGCAACAGTGTTGGGATTTTCTATGATTTTTTGGGAGAGTTCACACGACGAGGAGAGTAAGGACGAGAAAGATTGAATAGGCTGCTCTGGTATATAGCGTTGTGTGTAGGAACGGCGATTTGGGAGGAGGAAGTGAGAAGCGGGAAGAAAAGAAGCAACGAAAAAGGAAAGGCAGGTCAGCCGTGCACAGATTTCGTCCAACCTCGAAACATCCTGCATCAACCACTGTCACTTCAACCACCACTACCACCTCGACTCAACATAGTCAACTTACGCACTAATAACTGTGTGATGGTAATCCATGGCGTAATCTATGGCACCAACATATCCAGGAGAAACAGCCCCGATCAACTTCCTAGACACTGAGCGGCTCAGACCTTGACCATGACATCCTCAACCACGACATCGACACCACCCACCGCCTCAGCCGTGTCAACACTCATCGAACACTCGGCTGCCAAATCCGCCGCCGAGTCTCTGGCAATTACCGTCCTACACAATCTGCAGTACCAGCACGAGTGGACAGATCTGAAGCTCCACCTCGCCTGCCCCAGTATCACTCCTGGCGACGCCCATGCCTCTGCAGGGCTCATTGACTTGGACGGGATCCACTTTGTGCATTCGAGTAATTCATCCCGGTCGACTTCTCCGTCGAGGTCGGGCTCATCCACGCCGACCGGGAACGGAAATCCATCATCACAACCATTCATGCAGCCACAGCCACTGGCGAGTTCTCCTGGAGGCACCGTTCCCATAATCTCTGGCCTCCCACCCCAGCACACCTACCTCCATCCGGACCTGCAGACGTACTTGATCAAGCACAAGATCAAGGAGTCGGATATCCAGGTCCAAAGGGAGTTTGTGCTGCCACTCGCAATGGGCGAGAAATGGAGCTTGGCGAGGCTGTGTGGTGTGTTCGACCAGTTGCCCGAGAGGGAGACTGTCAGGGTCCGTCGTCCCATGTCCCCAACCGGAGGGAACCCAGCCGAGAGGCGTAGTAAGGTTGGTGAAACTGCCAACGAGAGCGGCGCGGCTGGTGCAGTGTACGAACACAAGGACTCGAAAAGGGTGCTCTGTGGCATGCGCGCTCGCGAAGGCGGAGGCGGCGACGGCACCATCGTCTACTACATCATGCAAGAAGGGGAGGTCAAACCGCGGCAGAACGGATGAAGCCGGCAAGCCGTCCATTACCCAATCCAATGTCGTTGCTACTCGGGCACTGAGACGAACTTGAATGGATGCCCCCAGCGAGCATCGAGCGGACACGTGGTTCCAGCGCAGCGCCAAAACCTCTCGATAGTTAGTGGCGGGAACAAACACGGCATGCTTGAAGGTGAACCTATCTGCACCAGGTGCTACCAGCTAGAAGATACGCCGCGCCGCGCAATCATCATTGTGTCCTGCCAGATACGGGAGTTTGATCACGGCACGAGGCTCATGAATGTATATGCGATTTTGTGTGATCCCGCGACTCGACTGGGCCGTTCCTGACAACAAATCACGTCCAACTGAAAAGAACAGATCAGGGAATACAGGGGTCGTTCAATTTACCCACCAACAACGACAAAGAGGAGACTGGAGCGAGGATATATCACCTGTCTTTTTTTTCTCTCCACAGCCTCAGTCAGCATAACATGGCATAGTACGCGCTAGAATGCCAGACCAGACATGTCCTGCACATGCAGACCGAGGAGGTCGATGGTGCCCTAACTGGAAGTTTATGTACCACCCGAAAAGGAGAAGAAGTTGCCAGACGAGTCGGGCCGCGGAAAGCGAAGTCGACACAGAGACGGAGACAGAAACACACACAAGAAGAAAGATAAATAGGTGCAGAGGACGACGATAGATTATTAGTTTTAATGTACGAGGTAGATTACACACGTCAGGGTCCTTTTCCCAAGATCTCCTCACGCTGGACTTTTTTCTGCGAAAAAGGGGGGGGGGGGGGGGGGGAAAGAGAAAAAGAGAGAAAGAGAGGGAGAGCCCCTAATTGCATGCGCCCAAAACGACAATCTCGTAGCGAAGAGATCAAGCAGGTGATTGAACATGGCTATCGAAAACACGTTTCCTTCATTCCTTCAATTAATGCGGTGCAGCCCCGGAGATGGACAGATAGACAGTGTCCTCGCTCCCCATAAAGACTTGACTCCCAAAGCGCTTTCATCAAACACACCAGTGGTGCCGTGCCATGCCGGATAATCCTCAAAGCCCGCTGTAAACCAGAACGCGCTCCAGTTCCCCAAAAAAGGGTGCCGTGCTTTGTGAATGAGTGAGAATGAGTGAGTGAGTGAGTGATGTATGTTTTGCTTTTCTCTCTATGCAGCAGCAGCAGCCTGTCGGAGTCGCTAATGTCGAGTGAACCACTGGTGGCCCTTCAACTTCTCCGACCTGACCACCTTGTGGCTCTCGCCGTGCCGAAAGTGGCGATGATGATCGTGTCTCGCCAACTTCTTGGCCTCTTTCGCGTCTTCTTTGGCCTTTCTCTCTTGAAAATCTTCGATCGACTCGAGCACGTCGTATTCCTGGACCGGAATGCCTTCAATCTTCTTGACCTTGGACCCTTCGATAAAGACGCACAAGCCCGCGGCAATAGCGACTAGACAGCCCAACGTGATCCAAACACCGGTACCCCACGAGGGTCGGTCGAATCGGTTCCAATGCCACATCCAGACGCAAAGAAGAACTTGGAAAAAGGTGTTGAGTATGTACATCCACACGACAAAGTCGATGGTCCACGATTTTGAAGGGGGAGCCCGAAGGCCTGTTAGAGGCGCCTCCGGCATGGACGCCGCAGGGATAGGGATGGCAGGGTTCTCTTCCATCTTGGCGATTTCCTCTTCTGTATATGGGGGAGGCGCTTCTGGAGTACGCGGGTGGTCATTGTTGTACACGGGAGGAGGACCGATGTGTTCCTCCAACTTGTCTGAGCCCGGAAGGCGGTACCAACCCCGATATATACCTGCGAGACGGCGATGGAAGCGTTCGTCGCCGCCAATCCGCCAGCGCATGAGGTAAAACCAATCTCGGGCTCGCCAAGGCAACAGACCAAAGGCCGTCACGCAGAAGAGGCCGTTGAGGATCTGGGAATCAATCTCGATCCACTTCTCTCGAGCGCTACTGTCGTCGTCGCAGGACGGGTGGCACATGGCCGGAGCAGCTTTAAGGAGGACGAAGAAAATCATGGCACCCCATCCAACGATGTTAAGCCCGTAGATGGTGACAATAAAACCAAAAGGGGTGAGGAAGAATGTCCAGAAGGCGCGGAGACCAATCATGGTGGACTGGGTCCAGGTGTGTTTCTTGGGGAAGCGGTAACCATTGGGATATGTGCCTGTCTCGTCCGGACCGCCTTGGATTCGCACTGTTTGCGGCCCGTCACTGGTAGTTTTCGAGGTCATGGAGGAATCTCGCTCTTGAGCTTTGGCAGTCTCGTCGTGCTTCTCCGAGCTAAAATGGATAGTATTAGCGGGGGTGTTCTGTGTCTGTGTGTCTGTGATAGATAAGAATGGAAAACAGCAAGAAAAGAGCTCACCTGGCCACTGGCTGGATTTCTTCTGGCTGGCCATGAGCCGGCTGTTGGACTTGAGTAGTCGCTGCCTCCTCAAGGAGCGGTTCCTGCATTATAGTCGGCGCTCTCTTGGGAAAGTATTCATGTCTCTCTTCTGCAATGGCTGGCGGTGCGTTGGCTGACAGCGAGCTCTTTCTCGTCCGCGTACTAGCAGAACTTGTCCTGGCCACCCGTCGCGCATGGATTTCATGCGGGTTTGTCCCTCGACGTTCCATCTGGCCCTCATGCG